TATATAATGAAACTGTAACCAAATCAATTATTCGAATATATGTAGTTATTATATTTATTCAATTTTTCATTCACAAAGCATTATAGATATAACTTTCATAAAACAAAATGTTTAAACATTCACCAGTCCTAAAAGCCCGAGATGGGATTCGAACCCATGACTAAAATTAGATCTCACCATCAGCCCCTTTACAACCCCACTGCAGGGCTCAGGCCTTCCTTATGGATGGTTAAGAAGGATGAGCCATGTCCCTTCACGTTGGCCCTATTAGAATTGGAGAGTAATAATTACATCTGTTATATAAAAATAAAAAACCGACCAAAAGCAAGTCGTTCCGAGCACCGGGATCCATATAAATATTAAATCTTAAAAACAATATACTTCTCATGAGTTTTCGGTAGTCATTAACAAAATTAACATATAATAAATAAATTACATTAAAACGACGGTACCCGACATCTCATGATAAGTTCTTCCATTTCCCAACTCTCACATAAGTAGATTTTCAAAATATTTATTTTTAATTTGACCAAAATATTTCTTAAAAAATACTTATTTACATTACACATACCCCTTTGGCCACTGAGTATGTATATATAACTTTTACATATTCTTTTGCGAATTTTCGATAAATTGGTTATTGAAAATTACGGTAACTGGACATTTTTAAATTAATTCTAAAACTTGGTTAGTGCAAAGATAATATAAAACTTCCAAACTTGAATTTTTTTAAATTTATTATCACCATATCACCCGGATAACGCCCACACTGGACAAAGGCCAACAAAGTTTATTTAAATTACTTGTAGGTAGATAATTAAAATTAAGGTTCTCAGGGGGAAAGACCCACAACCTCGCTAACTGTGCCAGGGAAGTATGGTATGAGAAAAAATTTGTAAAATCTAAGGTATGCCTGTATCGATCTTACAGGCAATTAGTGTATAAAGAAATAGTAAGATAACTCGTTATTAATACCGACATGCATATGTACAAGTATTTAACAAAGATAAAAAAAAATAACAATACTTAAGTGAATAAAAATAACATTACTTAAGAAAACGAGAAATACCTATCTATAGACTTTCAATTTAAGAAGGAACTTCACAGTTCAACAAAATCATAATATCGAAGTAATCGTGAATAAAACAATCAAAATACGAATATGCTCTAATAAAAATTAGAAAACGCCAATCATAGCGATTAACTCGAATAAAGCTTTTAATATCCTCACTGTTAGGGCATAGATGGTAAAATCTTATTAACATTAAGCAACAGTTACGAATTGTTTTCATTTCTGAAAATATTTTTCATTCGTAAGTCGAAACAAAGTACGGTTTCATCATGATTTGTTAAAAAGGAACACTCTATTTAATAAATTTCATTTAACTAAAATCCACCAAAAGAAATTCAAATAATAATTATTAGATAGTAAACAATTTCAAGAAAGTTCTTATAAGATCTTCATAAGATTAACTTCGAAAGAAGTTTCTTGGATTCAGCTTTCCAGTTTAAAGTATTACACATTATATTTCACGTTTTTTTTAAAGTACAAAATGAAACCTAATTAATTATTCCGGTTGGACCTCCTTGAAAATACACCTCTTGAATAAAATAAAAATACGATAAGCCATCATAGCAGATACAGCAGAAGTCACATAATAAAAAATGAATTGATATTTTCTTCCTGAAAATCGGTTAACGGTTCAATAACGAATCTAATTTTAATAAAGAAAATTTTGTCTTCATTTTTTTTCCTTCCTTCTCCATCAAGCGTCATTCAATCTATTTCAGTACAAAATTGTCATCTACAAATACAATATACCTGTACATATCACACACAAGGTACATAAATTGCTTACGCAATTTGATTAGCAACGATGACGTCACAAAATTATCACATTAAGTGATAGATTCGTATGGCGTTGAAATCAAACCAAATCTTTGTATTCGTAATCATGTTATCAAACCCTAATTAACGATGTATGTTTTCGTAATTCTCAGTAACTATGGACGTCACACTGTTTAGCCGTCAATGCGAGGGAAGGTATTTTCCGCTCGGCATTTCGCTTTAATATTCTTTGTATTTATGGTAGATAAATAAATAACTTCAAACGTGTCTAATCTAAAGTAATTAATAAGTAAATGATAAAAGACTGTTATTTTAATAATCATTGACAGATTATCTTTTTACACTCAACTAAGGTTACGCACATACTAATGATTTTTAGACATCGTGAGTTATTGTTTCTTTTACCCCATGGTTCTGTCATTTATAAGGAAGTCGCAATTAGCCGTGTTGTTAATTCTCAAGCACAGTGACAGCATGGAAAATGTCATGAGTGTGCGTGTAGCCTAATACCTAGACGTTTTTGGTACAAACTATATTACCTCTATTTTTCTATTAGACAATTCTTTACAGACAAAATAAAAGCATCGGAATTCCCTTTATTCCGTTTATACTAATACTAGCTTTTGCCCTCGCCATCGTCATTGAGTATAGTTACTTTGAGCAACATTTATAAAACGCTAAAACAATTATTTATTAATATAGTTTAAAATGCGTGAATATAAAGTTTCATGATTATATCTTTGAGAATGACGAACCTACTTTTGCATGTGTAACATTAGTATGGAATAATTAAACAATTCTCCTTGTTCCTCACTACATCATATACTAAGAGATTGCCAATTTACCAGACAGTTACCAAAATAAAAAGATTAAGAAAAATATTAATTACAATTGCTTATTCAACTTTTAAACTCACAGCTGCTTTTTTTACATCCTTTAAGTGCTGGTTTCCGAAATAAAATATAACCTATTAACTTTCTAGGGTCATAAACTACCCAAATACCAATTTTCATCGACATAGGTCCATGAACAAGGAAGTTTCATACAAACTTTTTTACCCTTTTTGACCCCCTTAGGGATGGAATTTCCAAAAATCCGTTCTTAGTACACCACTACGTATTAAGGGGAATATTCCCTCCGAATTTCAAAACGGTTTAGACTGTGTGTTGCCTGTCAATCAGTATGTCAGGATATCTCCTTTTTTATATATGTACAGATAAGTTATAAACAGGAAAGATTTGATTGTTTCTTTCCATCGAATAGGTTATAAAACTACTGGACCTCTTTAGAAAATTATTTAGTCTACAGGAAGTTACGTTATACGCGCCATGCGGATGACATATAACTTACGCGGGAAAACAGCTAGTATGTAACAAATTAAAAAATCTTGAACTAATTCTCCAAATAAAGATTAAGATAAGGCACCTATTTGATAGTCAGTTATAGTACATTACAAAATAGTCCTGATGCTCGGTTAATCCATAGGGCAGTGATGATAACCAGTTGAACAACAAATTAACTATTATGAAATATGTACATATAACGCTATGCGGCCTAGATATAGTTAATCAGTAGTTATAATAATTAATAAAACATTTATTACTTCCAAGGACTATTTTGTGGAACATTTCATCTTACAAAATACAGATACCTATAGATTTCAAACAATAGGTACTACATTATTTTTTAAGTAATAAAACACTATTAACCTGTAAACCATACCTACTCATAAATATTAGAATTGTATCTCCAATAAACGAATAATTAAATCATTTTTTAAATAAAGACAACCTTCGTAGCCGAGTAGTTCGCATACCGGTTTCAAGGTTTCGCCATCTCTGAAGTGTAGGGTTGGATTCGCGGTCGGGTCAATGTTGAGAATAGACTTTTCCATAATGTCTCGGTTTTGGATGTTGTAGTACTTTCGATATCTTAGATATTACATAATGCCGGGGCTTTAGATACTCATCTTGGAATCTGAGCAATGCATCTCAGAGTCCAGGGATAAAGTGCATTTTTTAAGCATTTGTCTTTAAGAATATCCTACAGTGTTACTGATATAGAATTTGCAATAATCCCATACATTTCTTATAAGTTTTCCTGAAATCTATAGATAAAAAATGTGCAATAGCTTTGAAGTTCAGGGGACGATCGGGTTCAGTTTTCGTAGATTATCTTTAATACCTTCATCCGTCAAAATACCATCAAAATCAGAATCCGAATTAAATTGAATTAGTTATAACGTTTTGTGGCATAAGTGAAGTGAGTTTCGAAATGACATAGGAATACATAAAAATTGGAATCAATAGAATTTCTATACTAAATGACGTGAATTCGCACACATGAGTGAATTAGAATTCGGAACTGGATTTTTAGAATCACAGGACTGGTAAGAGTGTGTCAGTTAAGGAAAATTCTGTAACGTAGGATAATGTAGTTACCTACTTCTAGAAACTGCATAATATTTTTCTTATCAAGAATGAAATCGAACATTATCACCAATTTCATTACTGTTATGAATCGATTTCTACAAGTTCGTGTTACGTAGTAAATGTACTACTAAAAGCAAAAGGTTGAAGCTATTTTTGGAAACTTGCCCAAGACGACGAGTACCAAAACCACATGGTTTGGAATAATACTTACACAAAAATAATACTTGCCTTTTTAATTTATTTAAAAGTATCATAAAGAATTATGATTTAGGTAGTTTATAATGTTTTTTTTTCAAAAGATACCTATGTTATTTCATTAATCATTACCTCATTAATCTAATTGCCAACGTTCCTTTTTTTTCTATAAAATAATTATGAAATGACCTCTATATAGGTAATTATAACATCTAAATACAGCTGATAACATTTATTTGTACTGTAATAACAACATGACTTTTAATAACGTAGACTCATTGAGTGTATAAACCTAATATTTTATATTTAAAATGAAAGTATCCATGAATTGTTTATTTTGATAAAATGCCAAATAATCAAGGATCATGTATACAATGTGTCAAATATAATCACCATCCTCATGCAAACAATGAAAATCAACAAATATTACGCCAAAAACATTATGACACATAACCTCAAAAACATTCAAAAACACTGATATTTACTTACTCGTAGATAAAAAGAACAAAAACAAATATACTTACAACGGAGATCATCGCATAGATCCCCTTTTGCACTGACTATTTGTGATCGCCTCACGCACACTATCGCAATGTGCATAATGCACCGCGTATCAATAGACAGCAGTGTGTCACCAGGTGCTGAGTTTATAGCACTGATACTTCACTAGTTTATGCGGCCAGCGAACAACTCGGATGCTATTATAGACACAGATGATGCTACTGTATTGTAAGTAGAGACCGCCATGCCCAATTAGTACAATTCACAACAACACGCACTGGTCTCTAACAACTAGCTGACGGCATCGAAACGAAACAAGCGGGTCGCGTTCACATTATGAAATTCTCTGCGCCCGAGTCGCTGCGTTCGCGCACATGAGCTCTCGCACACAAACACACGTTCTTGACTCTACACGCGGCACTGTACGACCGTATCCAATAGAGATGACGCTACTCTCACTACTAACAACTGATATCACGCACGCATGTTATCATATTAATCCCCCAGACTTTGTGATGTTATAAGCAATATTAATACTTCAATAAATAATGTGTTAAAACTATGTAAAATGCCGTTCGGTGGAATTAGCGACAGGAATTATTAATACATACAATGTACAATTAAACTATTACGATTATACTGAGAAAATATTCTCTGAACAAGTTGAATTAAAATTTTCTTTCGTTAATTAAATTACTGGATGCTAGAGAACTTAAGACTGTTTGGTTACTGATGAAATTTTAATACGTCGTTCAGTTTTTTAAAAAACAATAACAAACATTTTGTTCAACGTTGTTTGTAGTTTTTATAAAACTAAACTTTACAAGTACTTTAAAAAATATGTTTTTAAAAATATGTTTTTAATCTTCTTATTAAAAATTAGATAGCCGATCTGAAAGTGCTAGGGACAAGGTGGAATTTTAACCATTTTTCGTTAAGAATAATTTAATACTAGTTATGTATGAGTTAGCAACACAAATAAAAGAACTCAATAATTTAAAAAGTTAAAACGATTGACTTCATTTATCTTCTTGTATTTTATTAATGTAATTCTTAACTTCATGGTGTTCATGACCAACAATACCGGAACTAATGCGTGAAAACATCTTTCACGCTTCGATGTACCAATTATGGAAATATTTATGTAGAACTAATACTCGGATGTACATTGTAAGCAATTGCGTAACTATTATTATGCACCATTGGTCAATGGTACATTGATATAGGTAAATATGAAATGTAGTTCATTTTTATTTAGTTCATTAAAATTTCCTTTTCATATAACTGCACCTTTCTGATATGGAAAATATAATTACTAACTTAAATTACTATTATAAACCTACTAACAAGTACCGATTGGTTTTTGCTTATAGGCAACTAGTTATTAGTCTCGGTCGTTCCTCGAAAATCAAAAAAATGTATAACCTAATTTTTATTTTAAACTACATTCATACCAATGTTATAATAAGACAACTGAATTCCGAATTTCAAGTCTCTGACAAGCGGTTTAGGCTGTGCAGTCAATCAGTCAGTATGTCAGGACAAAGATTATTATGCTATTACAATAATTCTATTTTGGACTAATTTTTAAATTATATTTCGACAATACTGCCAGTTTTGTTATTAAAAAATAAAAAGAAACAGCAACTGATACTAATTTCTGTAGGTCTATTTTATTCTCTAGCAAATCTCAATTGTTTATGTAGTTAAGTTACATTCATAATTATATTGTGTTTATTATTAGGTACATATAATTTTTGATTGTATTATGAACACCTTAATATAAATCTATAGCCCAAAAGGAATTCAGATCAAAGAGAGTTGTTACATTTAAATAAAATTCGATAATATAAATAAATTAAACTTAGGGTTAAATTCTGGTCACGTCTATAAAAAAGATTACTATATTTTTTATTACTTTTTACATGTCCAGCAATGAAACCTAAAAACTCAACAACAGGTGATAGTGGAGTGTGTCATAAGTGATTTTGTATGTCACTTTTAGTTCTAGAAAGCTAAGGGTAAAAAATAGGTAATTCAAATCACTATCTGTAGTGCATCCAAGCCTTTGACGGCTGATCGCTTCTTTTGTCGGCAAGTCGGCGGGCGATGCGACGGCATCGATTATGTAAATTTAGAATAACTGGACGTTTGCCCGCTCGGCGAGCAGCAAATAGTACTGGGGCATGCGACCAATCGTAACAGACGCAAATACATGCACGCTCAATGCGGATACACCACTGAAGTCAACTACCCCCGTGACCATACGTTCTGTAATGTAAGTAATTGGGCCTCAGGAAAGCCCACACTTGATATCGTACCGAACAGTTAAAAAGTTTTTTATTGCAATGTAAGTAGATAACAAAGAAAACATTAAATGCAAATTAACCAAAGATCACACATAATTTTTTAAGAAAATTAATTGTTCCATAGACAAAAACATATACCTCTTCAAATATTTATTTTTAGGTTTTACTAATAATCTTAACTTTCACTGGCAGAAACGATCACACAAAAAATACATACAATAAATCGGCAACTATTTACGCTATGATGCTATTGTATACCTTTACCTTACGCTAATTATATTTAAGATAAAGAAATAATTTTTGGTTATAATGATTGTACTATCTGCTGAAAATCTAGCATGTAGTTTTAAGAGATAAGTATCAGACAAAAAATCTATTTCAAAAGTAAAAATATATTTAAACGAATAATTAACTATCATCTATTTTGAAAATAATTTCGTGAGGTGAGGTTGAAGCTTTCAGTCCTTATTACTCTCGTGCGAAGCTTATGGTCCGCTAGCTTATAATCTCATAGGTTGGTATATTTCTATTCTTGTCTAATCAATATTTAAAATTATGGTTATTTCTCAATATATTTTTAAGATATTTTGATTACAGTTGTAATTTTTTGTTACTTTAAACTTAACAGTTTTCAAATATATTGCTTAAAAACCTTAACCAATCGTAAATTTAAAATAACTTACTACGCAGCATTAAAGTCAATGTAAACTCAAAGGATCGTGGGTTTCCGGCAATGAACATTTATCATTCCGTAATATTATTATTTAATATAGTCGTTACTAATAAATGTATATCGTTTTATCCGCCCTATATGAGTCCGTCGGTGACGACGGCCACAATCAATGCGGAAGCGAGCGACGCCGAATGAGGGCACGATGCGTCGCGATGACCGTCCCTGCGCCCGCGCCGCGTCACCGCACCCGCTGCATCGGTCTGCACCCGCCTTCATAAACACCATCTATTTTCATGTATACCTGAAGACTGACTGTAAGTATAATATATGAAAACGTTAGCAATTTAATCTGCGTGGATTTTTAAATCTCTCTTTGTAAAAAGGGATCCTTTATGAATTTACATATTGAACCAGTGCTTGAACTATCTCTAAGTTAAATTTCATCATATCTATGCGATACAAACTTTTAGACAAATAATAATAACTGAATAAACCAACACTGAAATATTAGATGCCTAGAGACGGAAAAAGAAATTGCAGCACTCATGAAGGTCAGCTAAATAAAAAATCCATTTATATTGAAACCAAAGCTCATGATAAATATGTGCAAGAGTGTTGTAACGGTTGACAAATAGTATTTCTAAGTACTATAAGTCTATACATCATGCGGTACCAGTGCAAAAGTCAGGTGCTCGGACACATGTTGGCGAAGCGTTAAAAAAACCTTGCACATTTTAACAACAGCTTCTATATTTGATTGTTACACTTATAGTAATTGTAAGCGGGTCAGGAAAACCTCTTCTACTAATGTGATTCAGATTTAATTTAAATAAGGGAAAATCGCCCTAAGATGCTATCTTATACTGAATTTATGTCCTGGCCCTAGATAATATAGCTAGAATTAATGGGTACTCAGTGTGTGCAGCTCTATTGCTAGGGATAGATTATTGTTTTACCTATCTCGCGCGTTCACTACATTGTAGACACTTCGAAGTTTCGTAGTGAATGGATCGGGTTGACTGTGTAGATGCAAATTGAAGAAACCGCGAGGGTCTACTCAAACGTACAGCCTCGTGATTTGGATACACAGCGGTAGAGATTTGAATTTCGGGGGCTATTTTTGTTGTATTACGTAGGGGTGGTAGTATTGTTCTAAGATTCCTTACTAATAACAGAGCCCGGACCGGACAGGGTGAAACGGGGGCCTTTCCCTTTATTCAAAACATTTGTATGAAAGTTCTTTGTTTTTGAACTTGTAGCGATGATCGCTAAAATAAAAATTAAGGTTTTCAATTTTGGAAAATGATCAAGTGGAAGTCATCTTTTGTTAAAGGCAACGGTGACTGACTAATCTGTTAACACACAGCTAAAACTATTAGACGGATTGAGCTAAACATTTACACATTTATTATAACATAGAAGTAAAAGCTTACTTCAATAATGCTAACATTTGAATTCAAAATCTGGTAAACGAGAAAGCTAAAAATTACCTATAAGTTTTCATAACTTGTTAAAGAAATATTTTATATTAAAAGCTTAAAATTATCTATAACTAGTTAAAGAAATTCAAATTGATATAAGTAAAAAATTAGATTGCTGGATATATTAATTCCGCGTAGACGCGGCTGAAAGAGAAAATGCTTTGTTGACAGCTGGCCGAAAAACTTATTTAACTTATTTATAGTATTAGCCGTAGAGTTTTATATTATATATTTTTTTAAAGTAGTGTTTACATAGTCTGTGTTTTTTGTATACTTACGATATTTTTTTACTACATATTATTTTTCTGGCAGTAATAGAGTTCATTTGTTCTGTACTATTTGTTTTTTTTTTGTCTCATAGTCACTCACACTTTTTCCAGTTATCAATAATACGCTCAATAATTCTCCTTACTCTAGATTGAAACCTGTGTCTTGCATCAAGCCGTTGAAACACCTAAGATCGGCGGAAAAAGGTATTTGTGGGGTGGATTATAAAATACTTAAATAATCTAGAATGTATATATTTTATTATTATTTAAAAACTGTTGTAAGTAACAAAAAGATATATGTAAAAATATATAAATTTATGTACCTATATAAACAATTTAAAATATATAAGTTCATAAGGCTATTATTGGTAATTTATTTTTTACATATAATATAAAGAACATATAAGAAAATTCATAACATTTATCTATCACTATAAAGTTTTTTACAAAGAAAGAAACACATTTTAATTTCACTTAATATAATATGTTATATTAAGTGAAATTAAAATAAGCGAATAAGTGAAAGCCAATTGCACAAACGTACATTTAAATGTTCATTACTTCAAAGTGACAATACCCATACATATTTGACATTCATTAGAGCTTAAAGGCGTCATTAAACCTTAATGGAAGTTTGTGCAACTGACCAATAATATTTAAACTACACAACGGATTTTAATGCGATTTTTACCAATATACAATGTTTTCAGTGGAAGGTTACAAGTAGAAGATTACAC